TGAGGAATCCACAAACCAAAAGAATGCACAAAACAAACTGCGTTTTTTAAACCAAGATTTCATCAAAAATTGAGGAAGTAGGGACAAAATCGAATGGAAATAAACAAAGAGATTGTCGCTCCAAGTAGCTTTTGTAGAAATAAGTTAAGCAAACTCTGCAAAAAGGAGAAAACCTATTTTCTTGTTTTCTTGCCGAAATCAGCTGTTCATTGATCCTTTCCTTTTCGGGCACCGGTATTGTGCAGTTGTGCGAGTTCTTGTACCGCAACAATACGTCAAGTAAGATGTCCCGTAAGTTACTCACAAGCCTCACGGGATTTTCTCTGCGTCTCATCCTTTGCACAACATTTCAGTCAATTCTTCTCAAAATCGATGCTGCTCTTACGAATTTCAGGTAAATTCACCGCGGCACCTGCCTTGACGCTCACCCGTCAGATCAGGTCGCATTCTTAAGCATGTGAGAGTGGCCGCCAGTCAGTTTATCTTAAATACCTCAACTCAGTCCCTTAGTTGAAATCATCTGAAGTAAGTGGGGTTTCGATGCCTCTTGCCACAAATGAGGCGCGCGGGTCGCGAGATGCATGGCCACGCCCATAATAATTAGGTGCGCGGGCCGCGTTGCTGGCTAACAGGCACTAAGTGTCTGAGTATACTAAACCAGTAGTTCAGTATGTAGTTTGCACGTAAAACTGTTTTGCACCTTCTCAAGGGGGTTAAGTGCATCTCAGCTCAAGGGGGTTAAGTGCATCTCAGACTTGTTACACGACAACGCCTTATAACCTTGCCATCAATGGACTTACGATGTCCAACAAGTAAGGTCATTTTCATAAAAGCAACTAAATGGCATTCGTGCTTAGTCAACTTTTCAAAAGTAGGTCCATTCATTGAGAGAACGGAGTACAGCAGCAGTGGTAGACGCGCATTTCTAAAAACCACGTTGAGCATGCTTATCCGTAGTCATGTAGAGGAGGGCGGTGAAGCTCATTTTCACCTGCTCAGACACTGGAAGCGGGCGAGCCGCGGCCTTAAAAGGCCTTTTCGGCCCGCCCGCGGCCTTATTTTGGGGGCGTGGCCAGATCGCGGATGACCCGCGGCCCTAATTTGAAGGCGTGGTCTAAGTACGGCCGACCCGCGGCCGTTGTTCGTTGCAACGGCCGACCCGCGGCCTTGCTTTGCTTACCTGACCAGCGATATGCAAATTAACAAGTTAGTCATGATCTCGTAATGATCATTGACTAAGGTAGTTTAGTTCGCCCGTACTGGCCCACTACGGGCGAGCCGCGGCTCATTAACGGCCGAGCCGCGGCTCATTAACGGCCGGCCCGCGGGAGCTGCGATTGCCCGGCCGGAACTGGGCCGCGGCTCGCCCGCTCCCAGTGTCTGAGTGATTGCCGTATTCATCAACAAACCCTGAAGGTAAACCTTACCCTCAAGATAGGTTTTACTCTCAGAATCCATTGGCCGTATTTATCAACGAACTCTTGAGGATAGGGTAGGGTTTATCCCGGAAAGCGATTAACTCGTATCAATCAACGAACCCTGAGAGTAAATTTACCCTTGAGGGCTAATCTTACCCTCGAGGGTAAACCTTACCCCAGAAAGCGATTAACCCGTATTCACGAACGTGGCTCATCAGGGAAATTTAATCCGAGCACAGAGCAAGATACATTCACTCTGACACTTCTACAAACATCAAAAGTGATTTCTCGATGCACTGCTCGGTCGTAGCGCACTGTTTTGACAATAAACACATATCTATAATTACTAATAACTCAAAGTTCCTATGGCATCTTTTTTGTTTTCGTTTTGTGTTATCATCCGATATTATAGGCCGAGTTGATATAGTATAAGATTTAGTTTTGAACAAAGTACATGTCCAACTAAGTACCTAACATCAAGCTCACTAATTCGGATAGCATTCTTGTTCAAGAAACCTCGGTTGTGGCTCCCTCAATCAGTTTTAGTCCACTACTAACGATTTTTACACGATCATATTGTCATAACTCAAGCAAGTACGCTTTGATTTGAAAAATAAAGTACTAAAAAAATTTTACCCTAATTTCTATAATATGACCAGACGAAACAAACTTGAGATAGCATCGATTGAAAATATGTGTTTGTTGTCAAATAGTATCGAGGGCTAAGTAGTCCATCGTGAGATCACTTTATGTTTGATGAAGTGTCAGGGTAGAGTTAGCCTTGCTCTATGCTAAGGTTAAATTGCCCTGATGAATCACGATCATGAATACGGGTTAATCGCTTTTCGTGATAAGGTTTACCCTCAAAGGTAGATTTATTTCTCGGGGTTAAGCCTACCCCGTGCTTCGTGAATACGGGTTAATCGTTTTCCGGGGTTAAACTTACTTTCCAGGTTAAGTTTAACCATCAGGGTTCGTTGATGAATACGGCCACAGGATCACGAGGGTGCGGTGAGTCGAAGTGACAAGCAATGTAAGTGATACATAAATGGAGAGGGGTGGAAGGAGTTTTGTAGTGCAGTAATGCAATTGCTGGTACGTAGCATCCACCTCATACCCTGTGAACAATAGCCTGGGCTGGACAAAGCTACTGATGAATCGTATTTTTACTTAACGATTTAGCACTGACTAAGAAGCAACTCAAAAACCTACTAAATCCGGGGAGTAGCAAAATGTTTGTAGAGTTGGATTGATGCACTTCATCCTAATCCTACATGACACTGATAGTATCACTATCAGCGCTATCAATATGATCAATATTGGAAACATCCTGAGCACACGATATGACGACCCCGAAAGGACTGTATATTACGGCGAGCTATTCTTTGACTACGCAACCATCCGTCTCTTCTTTTGGAAGAGAAAACAAACAACCTCTCTAGAAAACTTATCATCTGGGATGCTTGTCAAAGCGTCAGTCTTACAAAGTAAGATGAAGGGAGCACTGCTGTACGAAGTAAATTGTAAGAAGAGGATGGCCTCTCCATGCGGTAAACAGCGGCTAGTTTATAGTCGATGCTTAAAATTTGCTCAATTAAATGAAAATCGTGGTTGATCTCCGAACTTTCAATTCCTCGAAATTCAAGCTCCTATTACAAATGAGTTCTTTCTCGTTCACTATCATCGATTCCTTTTTGCTGCGTTGGAGAGTGCAAATGACTACGCCACCACGACTGTCAAAATCTGACCTAAGCCCATCGCTCTCTTTTTGCAAAGAGATCAACTTGTCAGACAAAGTTTTAGAATTTTCTGGTAACTAAGGGTTCAAATTAGTGACTAAGCTCTGTGGGATCCCATTCCCATCAAATATCCCAATATAATTCGTGTGTAGAGTAGAATACTTTCGCTTTTTCGCAGGTCCTCGGCAGCGCTGGTGAAGTAAGGAGGGGGGGGGGGTTCAGAATGTAGACGACCTTTTTTCTGCCTTTCATAGGACTGAGCGGAGTTTCGGCCATTTGAGATGAATCACGAAAAAAAGTAGCTAAAGCAGAGCAGGACCCGGCAACCACGTATGAAATGAGGAAGAATCGAATCTCCGTTATCGGACAACGGGCAGTTAGGGTTAATCTCTGTTAGCGTGGATAAAAACAGACAGCTCGCTGTCCGTCAAGAAAGTCTAATTCATCCGCAACTTTGGGTACTCTAGTTGACATGTTGATTACAAACATAGTCTTCATTCCAAGAAATGAGCTCTTCTTGTGGACTTTGATTAACGAGCAGCGCGCAGCAGTTGTTCGTTCGGAGGATTTTTGAGGACAAAGCCTTCTATAACTTCGCAATTTTCACGAAGTCCACATTGACGTAAAAGTAGTAAGAAAACAACAGCAATTTGAAACAACAACAACAATGAAAACAAAAAACAATTGTCCCCAATTTGAAGGACGCCCTGGCAGGCTTGGAGCACCATATCTATGTGTATTTATCTATACTATTATATTTTTGGCTTGAAAAAGGAGACAGTGGTTTGTTTTGCTCTCTTCACTATCTGGTAGTTTTTTAAACGTTTAAATCAAAGTCCAAAACTTAAGTGTACTCTTTGATTATGGACCAACCCAGTTGGTTTGGTGTTGCTCTAGAAATCGACAAATTCGGGAAGAGTATATTAGGGATAAGTTTTTGAGCTTTTTACGAAATGAGTTTGGAGTAATACTGTTTACACAGAGCTCAAGTTCGGTGTCATGTAATGGCTTGCGCGCTATTAACAAGCCATTTACTTATTCGAGCATCTTTTGAATTTGGTGCTTTTAATAAGCAGGGAACAAGCAGGAGTCATTCAGCCAGTCATTCATGTGGCAACTTGATGGTTAGTATATGTGGAGGTCTCATTATGTATGTTTAGCAGGTCTTACGATACCTCTTCGCTTTTACCCCAAAGGCGGAGTCCAGTTTGGCCCAGTGCCAGCTGTACCGAGCTCTGCTCATGTACTTTGCCTGGGAGCTGCCTTGTAGAGATCACTGTCTTCGTTTATTGTTTTATTTTTTTGCTTTCACGGCACATGCGCAACGTTGCGGCGGAGTTGGCTTAAATTTAGAGTAAACAGGGTCCAGGATATAAAATCGATGGTATTCCTCTCGCATCATTTAGAGTTTGTAACTCCTTAAACTGCGTTTAGAGTTTTGCCCGTGCATTGGACTCTAAATCGTGCCGAAGCATCGACCAGTTACTAGGATAAAAGTAGGTTTCCGCCACGGCGCTGTCACTTATTAGAATGCTGCTTGGGCAGCGCACACGGGCAACTCTGAACGCTTCCTAAGCGTTGACGTCAAGCAATATTTTTGCAATATTTTTTCCAAAGCAACCTATTGTTGCCTAATATAAGGGCGAAGAGCACTTGACGATGCATCTTGCAGTGAACACGCATTCCAGGAATATTGTTGGCAATAAATGCTGTATGTCAACTAATTTGTTTGCTATGTGAATTGATAAACGCGACATTTATTGTATTTTTGTCTCCGTTTACAAGAAGACAATGCTTTCCTTTCATAGCACTCTATATTTTTATGATTTGTCAACAGGCGGTTATGATTTTAGCGCTTTCTGTCGACTTACTGGTTGCGCTCCTGTTTCCAATTTGGTGAGTTTGAATGAGGTTAATATGTACTAAGTCTTTGATAAAAGTCATGCGCATGCTGTTCAGCAGCTCAAAGAGCTTTCCACTAACTCCAAGTGCACATCCAGAATAATGCAGAATTCGTTCACTCCACAATAGCTGCTATCCTTGCCTCTGCTTCCCTGGACTGAGCACATGTGGCTAACATGTTGGCATCATGTCGGCACCAGCGCTAGCATCCTAAATGTTTTGTCAAGATTGAGCACGTTGCCAATGTGTTAGCTGTGCGTATCGCAGTTCAAGAGGCACAATTGTGCAGTTGACGATATAAGCCTTAGCCTTGGTCTTAGCCTTAGTCGTAGGTGTCTCAAGTGTCTCAACACAGGTCTTATAAATTGCAGAGTCGGGTGCATCAGTACCTCCGTTCCTGCGCGGCCTTCTCGCCTGGACTCTGCACCTTCGCGAACATGCTCTCTTATCGCTTTCCCACCACGAGCGTAGGAGAGCTTCAATGGCTTATAAGCATACAAAATTATTAGAAAGCGAAAAAGGCGCGAAGTCCAGGCGAGGCGGCCGCGCGGGAGCGGAGATGCTGTGCAACCGACTCTGCAGTTGATACGCCGCGTACAAACTTGCATCAATAAATAGCTGTTGTCCAAGTAGTGCTCTTGTGACATTTTAACCCACTGCGCGTGCTTCTTTGCGGGATACGTAGGTCGTCGACTCGCCGATAGCACAAAAATAACATTAAAACGCACTCTTGCTTTGTAATCTTCGTCACAGTATGCCCAACAACATAAAGAAAAAAGGTGTTTTCCTTTTTTTATTTTAAGCGTTTTATCAGCTCAGGTACCGTGTTCGCAAAACGACTACTTATGTAATTGTGATATTTGCATTATGTTCGCTGTATTCTCTGTCTGCGCTGATTTGGGGATTATTCACACAAGACGACAAAGCCGACGAAGTCATACTGTTCTGTAATCCTCCTCTGGGTAACTGCAGTTCACATTACATATAGGCTGTGTCAATGAAGGGCTCCCATCTCTGTGCTCTCAGTATTTACGCAGCGAAGGTGTGCGTTTTGCTAAACTGCGATCGATGACGCTTGTGCATGCTTGAGCGCTTGCCTAAACTACCTCGCAAATTGCTTCTGCTGCTCCATAACTAGCTTTTGCAGCTTTGGGAGCTAACAAAAACAATTTGAAGGGTTGAAATATTTTGAAATTAGTAAAAGATTATTTTTAAGCTTAGTTCCCGGTTATAAGATACCAAAAACGTCCTGTTATAATCATACAAAAGCATGACCAAGTAAACTTACCGTAATAAGTGGTTATTGCCGCTAAAATATCTGCAAGTATGAAAAATTTGATGAGCTGTAAAGTTAGCACGAACACAACCACCATTTACCGCTCATCTCAAATAGAGTCGAATACGGCAATCATAGCAGAACAACGTCAAAATGCAGATATTGTTAGTTTGCAAGCACTTTGTTCATCTAAGATAATAGTATATAATGGAAATACAAGTGCTTCCATTTTAGAAACAGATTATACGCACCAAAACATTCCTAACAATTACTAACAATCTACTACTGCGCAACATGCAAGGAAATCATTATCAGTGAAGAGTATAAGTCGAACGTAGATTTGACCATGACACGAACGTCATGATTGTTAGCAAAACGCCCCATTATACGCACGCGGACGAAGCGTAACGGCTCCGCAATGCTGGCTCTACCATCCACCATTGCTGAAGGGGAGCTCGACATGTCATAGCCTGTATGCCCTATGGCAGTGGCGTACCGAGGGGGGGCGAAGGGGGGGGGGCGCGCGCCCCCCCCCCCCCGAGAATGGGTCGCGAAATTTTTGAAAGTTACTTATATGGGTTATAAAAATGTGCAAGTGACTTGTTTATTTTTGTAAATAATTGAAATAATTTTTAAAAATTTTTAAAAATTCAATTAGCCTTGTAAAAAATTTTTTTTCGGGGGCGTGGCTGACGCCACGCCCCCTTTTTCCAGATTTCAGGGGTCGGGGACCCGCAAAAATTTTGAGAAGCACCCCTAAAATTCTTTCGGAGTGCGTGGCTAACGCCACGCACCTTCTTTAGAAAAAAATTTTTGTCGCGCCCCCCCCCCCGAGCCGAAATCCTGGGTACGCCACTGCCCTATGGTAAATTCAAAACTATTTATAGCGCTATCACGAAATCCGAGTCGCTATTGGTCTCTTTCGGGTGTCATTTTGAACTGTCTGGTCTTGCTAGTTTATGCCATAGTCATTATATACGTAAAACTTAGAGGTAAGCAGTTTCTAGGCCCTTCAGAAATTCTTAAGTTTGTTAGCAATTCGATTCAGAACAACCCATTGGATTCAGAACAACCCATTAATATGGAAGAAATAAACAGATATACGTTTAAATCGAGTAGTTGAGCGGCTCAGACACCTTTAACAGCTATATTGTTCAAGCACTGTGGCTTAGATCCCGAGTCAATCTTGCAAACATTCATAAGGTAGCACAACTCTGATACCAAGCGCAACATTAAGTCAAGCATTAGTAGCGTAAACGAAACCGTCATAAGCAATGACTTGATGTCTTCTAACCTTGCAGTGAGAATGACAAGGAATGCCATGATGGAAACTTCTTCAGAATCTCGGAAAACAGTGATCTTATCATTACTTAACAATAAAGCGCTAAGCGTGTGTCCGTTTGTCTGTCTGTGTGTATATCTGTCTGTCACGAAATTCATGGAGCGTGTGTTGTAGTCAAGGACTTGAGCTGAAATTTTGGTCATGGCACCCTACCAGCATGTAGCTAAATATTGCAAAAGCACACGCTGATCCGATAATTGGAACTTTAGAAACTGGGCGTCACCACCAGTGTGGGTCGATGGTTGTACTTTTTGCGAAGTTGTGGATTTGCTCAACAAGTAAATGTGCAGACCATAGGCTTAAGTCCAGAAAGGGAGCAAATAATCTATTTTTACACAAAATCAGCACCAAAAAGGAGTGTTTGCGTAGATCATCAATTTGTCAAGGTTTCATCTAATTTTTTGCGCAGATTTCTGCTCAGAAATCTGCGCAAAAAATTAAATGAAACCAATTTGTCAAGGTTTCATTTAATTTTTTGCGCAGATTTCTGCTCAGAAATGTAGGGGACAAAAGTAACTATTTTTTGTAAAAACTAACGGCAATAATAACTTCAGCAACTGGCCGACATTCTCTTTTGATCTTCTACGCAAAAACTTTCTCTTCCCAATTCACCGCTCCTACATGGAAAAGCTCATAAAATGAATAGTTGTTTACAATTCGTTCATGATGGTCAGCATCGCATAGCGAGTTTCAAAGTGACATCATGCGAGCAAGAGGAATGCATATAGATAGAGGAGCCAGTGTGAGCCTCTGCGAAGCAGAGGTAAAGCACTGGTTGATATTGATATTGCCTACCATCGCACAGCATAATGCACGTGATCTAACTTGGCCGAAATTACGCTAATATCGCTACTGTTACTTGAAGGTAATTGATCAGCAGAATGGACCTCTGTCAGATTTTGGTAGTGTTAGGTAGTAGACCCCCCGAACACACCGTAGTCCCAACCCACCCTCCAATTCATGCACTAAGACCTGAAAAGCGCTTCAAAACTCCACCAATGATGCCCACCCAATGGAAGTGGGCGGGGCTGGTGGAGTTTTGAATCTCCATTACAGGACTTAGAACATAAAATGGAGGGTGGGACTGGGGCTACGGTTACTCGGGAGGTCTACTACCTAACACTGCCAAAATCTGACAGAAATCTCTTCTGCTGATCCACTGCCTTTAAGTATTGAATACTCTACTTAGTTGGTATTTTATAGCCCTGAGGGATAATATGGGAATTAGGATAAGCTCTGGTTTTGCAAGTAAAAAATCGTCGTAACTTTAAGCTGAAGCATATTTCCTCTTTGTGCCGAGAGTAAGAGCTACACTCAAATTAGAAAATTCGATATTTCCACAATACTTTTTCAGCGAAATCGAAGTCTTGCAAGGAGAACCAAAGAGTTATCCGAAGACTACAAGTCCTTCTTATCATTTTCGTCTTATCGTGGTTCATGTGTTCGCTTGGAGTCGATCTGGGGCACATATTCAACTTGAAAGGAGAAAAGCTCGAAATTTGGCAAAGTAACATGGTATTTAAACAACACTTTCTTCTGTTTTACTTTTGTACATCGTATCTGCCAAATACAAAGTGCATGGCATCAAATTTCGTTCTAGAGGGCTATAAGTATTCCAGATCATAGATATTCGTTGAGTTTTTTATTAGCAAAATTTTAGTAAGTTTTCTTATAATTAGAAAATCCTTGAAGGCAGTGGCTCGGCAAAACTGAACATTTTAAGTTGATGTGGTAGGTGGTTATTCCCATCCCCCCTCATATATGACAACAGCAAGAGTCTGGTTGCGCAGCATACCTCCTGAAAAAAATCGGACTGATTTTTTTGCACAATTGGACGAGTCCATGACTTCTCTCTTTCTGTTCGGAAATTTAATGAACTTTCTACTGTTTAGAAAATCGAGTCTAAATCTTGATAATTCTGCAGGATTTGACACAATCATGATAGAACGACCCCATTGGGTCGTACATAACCTGCCGTTTCGGACAATACGACTCACCAGTGGGTCGTATGCTTTCTGAAGTTTTGATTTTGCTAGTTTTCGATCAAACTTTTTGGGCAAAATGAATAAACTTCTGTACCTCTCTTGAAATATTAGGTTGGCTCGAAAGTTCTCGGACATTTTCGAACTAGATGTGCTATTTCTCGAAACTTAATGCATACGCATCAGGTAGAGGCACCATTCGATAGAGCAAAGCAAGCTCTACAAGACGGTATGCAAAAGTTCGCACCAGCTTCGACCCACCGTAAGTTTGCACCCAAAATCTGAGTCGTACTAAAATTCAAAAAATCGCGAAAAATTCATATCATTGTTCAAACAAACCCTACGGATCTCCAACTTGCTCACAAAAATTGCGCACTACATCAAACACTCATATGCACCGTTGCTATATTTTTTCCTCATCTAGAAATCGAGAAAATAAAAATTTTCTTGTTTCCACAAAAACGAAGCTATGCTATACTCATGTAATTATATAGTACAAACCCTTAGTAGTATAATCGTAATTTTTCAGCTTTCTACAGGCTCTAGTTCCCAAAAATTACCGAATTGAGCTCTCCTCACTCGGGCGTTCCATGCTAAAATTAATATTTTTCGATAACTAGGGCTTACGGAAAGCTGAAAAATTACGGTTATACTTATAAGGGTTTGTACTATATAATTACATGAGTGGGAATAGCATAGCTTCGTTTTTGTGAAAACAAGAAAATTTTTATTTTCTCGATTTCTAGATGAGGAAAAAATATAGCAACGGTGCATATGAGTGTTTGATGTAGTGCGCAATTTTTGTGAGCAAGTTGGAGATACGTAGGGTTTGTTTGAACAAAGATATGAATTTTTGCGATTTTTTGAATTTTAGTACGACTCAGATTTTGGGTGCAAGCTTACGGTGGGTCGAAGCTGGTGCGAACTTTTGCATACCATCTTGGAGCTTGCTTTGCTCTATCGAATGGTGTCTCTACCTGATGCGTATGCGTTAAGTTTCGAGAAATAGCAGATCTAGTTCGAAAATGTCCCAGAACTTTCGAGCCAACCTAATACTTAAAAGAAACACTTCAGACCATAGGACCCATCATTGCTGAGAAAATATTACGCAACTCAATATTGCGTAGTGTGCCTTGGTCCGAAATGGCAGTCATTGAAAAATCGTCCTTGTCGTAAATATGTTAACCTCATATGTTATAGTGTGAAAAAATTGTTTCAATTTTGGACAAAGATATATCCTAAAATGTGGGACTTGTAGAAGGCTGAAAATCAGTCGTTGTGCTCAAAGTACGTGGTGTGGAATTATGCAGAAGACCAGGGTAGCTTTGGTGGCCGCAAGTTCACCGATACCTGTCACTGAAATATACGGCAACTGTGTATGAAAAGATGATGAAGAGAATTAACACATGAATTCTCGACACTAAAGTGACTTGATCGAAACCATTACGTAACATAGTTTTCATCATACAAAGTAAGCAGAAGCTTCATATCATGTTCTCAACGAGACCTTGTAGTAATCAATCGTCAACATGGAAGCTGGACATGTGCTTGACATTAAATTTGGCGAAGTGATCTCATTGACGGCGATCCAACCTCGCACTATTTGGGAAGTTAGTTTCATCAATTTGCGGAGGACAAAGCTGTTAGTACTGGCGAATATATCCCACACTATCGCTAAACAAGTTCTCAGAGCTCAAATTACGGCAACACCACGAGATGCCGTAAGGTTCAGCCATGAGCACACGTCGTTCGAAATCGACCCTTCTCCTACACACCCACATAAGCGATCCATTCTTCCTTCTCTTCACCTTCAGAAGCTCATAGTGTGCTATCTTAGCAATATCTCGGGGTCTTTCGTAAACGGGCAATGTTTGACATGTTTGAAAAATACTCATTTTTGGTTGTCTGCTTTCTGAAAGAAAGCCTTTCACCGATCAGTCGCAATTTTCAGCTAAAATCTTGCTTATTGTGATCCACTGTGTGCCTACAGTAGTTCTAACATGAAAAGGATGACCGGTGACCATGGCCATTCGTAGAAACACATCACTTGATGAGTCTTAAAACGCTAATTCAAAATTTTCTTTCACTATCTGTTAAGCAATTGCTTGAGCTTACCCATGAAACTTTTTTTCTAGAAGAATTTGCACTAATTCAGTTAAGTAAATTATGAGCACCGCTCGAATTTCTTGTATTGCTCCTCGGAACAACATTCAAAGGCGAGCACAATTGTCTCGATTGCGTTGACACTAAAAAAAGTCAGATAATATCGGTATTACTGACTATGCTTTGATGTGAAAAATCAGCGCAAAAAACTCATAATCTATTTCAGAAAATTTTTTAACAAATACCGAAAGCAATTTTGTAATCAGCGTTTTGAGATACATCAAGTGATGCGTGTATTACGAATGGCCAAATCATCAAGTATCGTTCCCTTGCAGAGGCTGACACAAGCATGGAAGTTATTCCACATTCTAATACTTATGCAATCTCTTGGAGAGACCTCAAAATCTTCTCTTCAGCAAGTTCGAGCCATGGACCATGTGGGTCACGTTGTCGTTGATGTGCCAATGTGTCGCGTGATCAGTCCAGTAGGTCATGCTACTCTCACTGTATCGAACTATAGCGTTGTCAAAGCTCGAAGAAATTGAACAGAATTTTTGATTCTCAATTACATCTGTGTCTTGTCTGACTCAGGTTGTGCACGGCTTCACTTTTTTTCAAAATATGAATAAAATCTCGAATTCTTGTTGAAAAATGCTTGAGTTTCCTTCAATGTGTTAGAAAAATTCAAAATATTTGCGCATCTTGTAGCTCATGTTATAATGATAGATGAGTGCTGCAAAGAGAGGAAAGCCACAGAGGAAGTTGCAACGCTCAAATGCCAACCTAATATATGCATTAAATTGCACTAGCTAAATAATTTTCAACGCGAACATTAGCTATGCTTCCCGATAATATACAGGATGTTCCAAAACGCATCATGGTGATTGATTTTAAAATTATGCCACAGATGCTGAAATTATCTTTTATAATAAACTACTTTTTTACTCGAGAATCTTCATATTTAGTGAAAAATGAAAATGTCAAGTCATTTCTCTCTCAGAGCGCGAAAATCTATTTTCTCAGAGTTCAAAAATTATTATGTTATTGGAAAAATTTGGAAGTGTGCTGTATGGAGTAGGCCTTGCACTACTTTGTAGCTGCATTCAAAAATCTAATTTATCTAGGCTTAAAAAAATTTGGGAACTTTGAATGCGCGCCACTGAAGCTATGTCTTTGAGCTTGAATTCAAATCTGTAGAAGTGCAGCAATTACTAGATCTGAAGTAATTATCTCTTGATGTGTCCTTTAGATGAGATTCTAGTTTAACTGGGATGACGAACGTGGTTTCGAAACGCATCGTAGCCGTTCGTAATTATTTTCCTGCGACTGTGTCCAACACTATCCAACATAAGTTCTACACATGCCTGCATTCAAATTCATATAACTTCAACCCTAAAAAATACAAAATTTTTTCTTTATAGTATTAGGTTGTAACAGAATTAATGCAGGTTTTTGAATTCCAACCGCAATAACTCATACACTTCTCATTTCTAAGTAGGTTGCAAAACACCATTCGATAGAGCAAAGCAATCTCTACAAGGTAACAATCTTGCTTTAGCAACAACTCTGATCCACCGCGAGTTTCGAGCCAAAAACTAAAAAGATTCAACTGTCCGAAAAATTGAGAGAAATCATAACCCAGTTCCAAAAAACCTACAAAAATTCTAACTTGCTCACGTAAACACTATTCACATAAGACATCTTTATACGCCTTTGCCGTATTTTTTTCTCTTTAGAAATCAAGTAAACAGAAATTTTCGTGCATTTCCCAAAGTATTGCTGTGCCGTTCCCACATAAGTAGTTGTATACTACAAATCTGTAGAAGTACAAACTTAAATTTCCAGTTCTCTACAAGCTTTAGTTCTCGAGAAATTTGAATTTTAGCTTGGACCATCTAACTAGGGAAAACTATATTCGATATAACTCGAGAACTAAAGCTTGTAGAGAGCTGAAAATTTGCGTTAGTACTTCTATAGGTCTGTAGTATACAGCTACCTAGATGCAAAGGCACAGCATCATTTTGGCAAACGCACGAAAATTTCCGTTTTCTTGATTTTTAACAGAGAAAAAAAATACGGCAAAGGCGTATATAGATGTCTTATGTGAATAGTGTTTACGTGAGCAAGTTAGAATTTTTGTAGGTTTTTTAGGAACTGAGTTACGTTTTCTCTCAATTTTTCGGACAGTTGAATCTTTTTAGTTTTTGGCTCGAAACTCGTGGTGGATCAGAGTTGTTGCTAAAGCAAGATTGTCACCTTGTAGAGATTGCTTTGCTCTATCGATGGTGTTTTGCAACCTACTTAGAAATGAGAAGTGTATGAGTTATTGCGGTTGGAATTCAAAACCTGCATTAATTCTGTTACAACCTAATATATTGTAGTTGGAAGCTTGTTCTATCGAACAGGTTATCCTCAGAGCAATAACA